CTTTGGGAGAGTGGGATACTTCAGAGGGGAAGTATAAGTCAGATACATGTTGAACGACTTCTATCTTGTCATTTAATTAATGTATTTAATGGAAACCAGGGCATTATTTTGGTCTGTTTCTATTTGACTTTTCCACTTGTTACTACTTCAACTAACAAAAAGCTAACTGTCTTCTGAATTTTGTCTTTACAAATTAGCTGCAATTGGAATGGAAACAGTAACCCAGTACTGCTTAATATTTTCCTATTTTGTTATTGATAAGCAGTTTGGAAAGTGTTTTTCAATGGAGGGCTTTTGATGTCTCTTTTCAATATGGTAAATGTAATAACAACAGTTTTTTGGGGGGGGTTGGTTGGGGTTCTTTTTTCACTTTGGCATTGGAATTCATGTTGAAGGGTAAAGATGTTGAGGTTCCCCACTTTTCAATGGAGGGCTTTTGATGTCTCTTTTCAATATGGTAAATGTAATAACAACAGTTTTTTTGGGGGGGTTGGTTGGGGTTCTTTTTTCACTTTGGCATTGGAATTCATGTGAAGGGTAAAGATGTTGAGGTTCCCCACCCCAAGCAATGCTGTCTAGGCTTATGAGAAGCATTTTATAAATTATAACCTGTTGTATACAAATAAATTATTATTTTACTTAAAATTAAAAGTTATAAATACCTACCTGTTTTGCATGGGGGTTCTGGTGAGGTGTCATTCAGTGGTACTATTATAGACATCGGTGGCCTATATATTGATTTTTTTTAAACAAATGAACTGTCATTTTATTTTCTAGCTAAATGAATTAGAGGTTTAATGATCTCAGAATCTGAGCTACATTGATGGACATCTGGGCTCAATGTGAAATGTTTTTCATTTTATTGCAAAGTTTCTACTTTTTTAAAAATAATTTTAATTATTCATGTAAGAAATTAGTGGAAAACACCTTTACATGGTGACCAGGCATAAAAAAGTTTTGAAAATTTTGAAGCATTTCAAGAAAAAATGTTGAAGGCATAGATAGTTCTTTTAAATTAAAAGATTCTTTAAGTGACTTTTTTTTCTTTGTGTATCTAAAAGTTGAATAATATTTCTATAGAGAGGCAGAGAATTAATTTTAAGCACAAACATTAAGTCTATCGAGATGAAAGCTAGATATTGTTGAAGGTAGATAAGTAGAGGGTGGAAAGGAGGGTGGATAAGAAATGGAGATTTAAAAAAAAACTTTGTAGTGATTGAAGAATTGTTAATTTAGTTAACTCTTCTCATTAACTTCAACTCTGAGATTATATTCTTGGCAACAGAACAGAAAAATAAAAAGAAAAAGAAGATACATTGGTTAATCTTTTGTTATAAGAGAAGGACACATACTGTTTCTTTCAGAGAAAGACATCATGGTGCTAGACAGTAATCTATCAAATGGAGCATTATTCATGGGAGTTTGTTTATGTGTTTGTTTTTACTTTTGTTTGTTTGGTCGCAGCAAGACATTTTTGCTAAAAGTTCCTGGTCGGAAGTTCTTATCTACCTATTGAGTTCTTGCATCACATACATCGCGACTCTGGACTGTTAAACACATGTTGGACATCAGTCCCTTCTTTCTTCTAGTGGCCAAGTTTACCTCAGTGGAGAGAAATTCTGAATAGGACATCTTCCTCTATTGTTAGAAAGTTGAAACTGTTAGAGATTAGTATGAGGAGGGGGGAGGGACAGAGAGACATCGAAAGTTGTCAGTGTTCAAGCAGAGTAGATGACCCATCATTTGAAGGTTTGAGCTGTTGTCATCAGTCATTGGGCTTCCTTAGAAATCCTTGGCTCATTTTCATTCTAGATCTTTTCACATTTCTTCCTTTATGGTGATCTGCCAGATTTTTGTTAAAAACGTTGAACTGTGTGCCCTCCCTAAGGACTATCTTTTGGGAGACGGGTTTCCTCTTAGAGAGAGCTGTGGCCAGAACGCTGTTGGTGTGTAAATGAGTAGATCCTGGCAGATGTTTAATTGCTTGAATATGCTTTTGTGGAACAGGAGACTTTTGAAGCTTCGAGCAGCCTCCATTGTTGCAAGCAATGCAGGACTATGTATCTTTTAGAGACAGGAAGCATCAATGGGTTACCTACCGCTCAGCAGTTTAGACAGAGTGAAAGTGAGAGGTTGATGGATTCCAAGAAATGAGTTTTTCTTGTATTACTTTTCAAAGACAGGCATATATTATTACCTTAAGAAAAGAGAGAGGATTCTCTTAAAACCCCTGAACATTTGTTTTGGATGTTCCTCCTCTTCCAGTAATCTGCTCCCTGGATTATAGTATTTGCTTAACAAAGTACTGTACAATGTTTGTTGCTAATCAATTTGGGTATAAATGGAGAAAAGAGGAATTGAAAAACACCTTAAGATGATTTGACTAAACAAAGATTTTAGTGCTATTTAAGAAACCTGAAATTTGCCAGTCTAGAAGTTACTTTACTTAACACTCAAACATGCATATGACCTTGGAAATATGCTAATTTTTTAATTGGCCTTTGTGAATCTGTCTACTCTCCCCTGAGGTAAAAGCTGACTTGAGAGTAGCTCACCCTTCTGTTTTGAGTCATCATTGTATCTACTGTGGAAAGCCCTTGCACCCCACCTCCTTTGGGTGCAAGAGGGTTGTAAGGAGAGATCTGCAAAAAAGGGGCAGGTGGAAAGTGTCTTGTGTCCATCTCTTCCCTTTCTTTGTGGGGATCAAGCCACCTCACAGATGGCATATTTCAGGATGCATATACACGTGTAAAAGGCTTATTAAAACATGTCACTATGGCAGTAGATTCCTAATCTATTACTATAAAAAAAAAAATCTCAGAGAAATTAAAATGAAGGGCATATGTTTAAAACTTTAACTTTGTCACCATAAAATTAAAGCTATTCAGTGCTACCACACCTCAGTCATCTATTGGTTTTATTTGGTTAATAAATGAGATTATAATATCCTCACCCCATTGAAGCATTTAGTTTTAGAATGCCTCTTGAAGATTTTGCTTTTTATAAATAACTCAGGAAAAAACCATACAAATATTTTCTAGATGATATTTATTGCCATACACAGCCTCTTAAGTTGTATATTATTAAATATACCTATTGTGGTAAACTTCCTAAAAACTTTGAGTTATGCAAATACTTGTAATTTCTACTGTTAACCATCTTCACCCTACTTTCTTAAAGTTTATAGTTTTGCAGACTGTTCAGTTATTTTGTTTTTCCTTAATGCTTTGCTCCCACCAGTAAGAGAGATATTTTTAAACCATGTTGGAAGTAGAAACCTAATCTGTAACATTGACCCAACAGGATACTGGCTTTCATGAGGCTTTCCTGCTAGGATTACTCCTCAGTGATTGTGGAATGCCATTCACTGTTATCAGCATTCCTCATGGCCTAAAGCAGTCACCTAAGTATTAGGACAGTGAGCTTCATTGTCTGTGACAAAAAGGTCAGCAGTTGTTTTATTAGTTGGTAAGATTCTGGACTTAAGATGACAATTAAAAAGCTAAAAGGCAAAGCTTGGAAGGCCTATGTACCTTGTTCTAACCAAGAACAATTGAAAAACTGAGAAATTTAATTGTCAAACATTTAATCTCTTTAAGGAACTGCAAAGTAGGGTAAAGAATATGACTAGGAATAAAGAATACAGAATATGGCATGATACATATCTTCTTCAAATTATTATTAAGATGGTTAAATAAATTAAATGAACCTAGTGAAGTATGCTGAATTTTAATGCTTTCTTTGGTTAATTTGAATATTCTTTTCAACAATTAGTGAGTAATCTTCAATAATTTACTTAACTGGGCTGCTATTTTCAATTTCCAGTTGTGGAATCATATAATTGTTTACTTATTGATCCAAAAAAATTATTTCTTTTTTAAAGAGAGATAATAATTAAATAAGTAAATATACCGGTTTTAGGCATCCCTTGCCCTACAGAAAGACTGGTCTTCACTGGTATTCAGGATTACTAACCTAAAATTATAGAAAGAAGAGGCTATCTTCGATTCACTATATTTTCTTCTTAAACAATAGGCAGTCACATTTTGGCAGCCTGCGTTATCTGTAATATTCCTTTCTTCCCTGGACATTTGTCATTAACTCTGTTCATGGAATGTAAGTCAGTCCTCTCTTACATAATTTCTTCTTGATTTTCTCATTCGTTTCCAAAGAACACACTTTTTCCATGAAATAGTTTTATGAATAGTGGCTAGTGTCCCATTTTAGGTCACAAAATCCCACTTCGCCTGGTTAATGTCTTAAAACATTATATCGGAAGAAGGTCCACAAGACAAAGATAGTAAATAGTGCACTAACACAAAAAGTGAAACATCAATTAACATTGGGTGTGTAGTTTTAAATCGTTTTGGGGGTCACCAAAGCAATGTGCCCTTGCTTTTCCACCTAGTATTGGGAAGGAAATAAATAAGCATAAGCAGACAACCCTACCAGTGGGACCCTAAAGTAAAGCTGGAGATTCAAGAGGCTGTTGTAGGAGATGTACTCACTTTGTAGTGGGAGAAAATATGGAGCTCATAACGAATGTAGCTGCATGCCCAAGAGATGCCTGAGAAAGATGTCCAAAGTCCTATCTCGTCTCTAGTTTTCTGCTGTACTGAACTTTCTTAATAATCTTAGAGAAGTCACTTCAGTCTGCATATACCACAGCTTCCTCATTTCTATAACCTCTTAGTTCTTTTAGCTTTAATAGGTATGAATTTGTGAATTGAGGTTGGTTTGTATGAGTTTACCTATGAACCTAACTGCTGAGGATGGTGTAGTCTCTATAAGAAAATTTATCAGAGTTCCAACTAAACAATTGCAGGATGATTTTAGAATCCACATGGGCATGGAGATGGTGAAACACTAGATTGGCATCTGGTTTACAAGTCCAGTCTAGAAATTCTAGAATTAAAGCGTGAATAACCATTTCTGTGCTGATTAATTGCAGACCCCAGAAGGTATCAGTGAAGAACAGAGGACTCAGGAGTTGGCTGCAATGGAAGACGCCCGGATAGTAATTCTGAACAACCTCGAGGAACTTGAACAAAAAATCAAAGATATAAATGACCAAATGGATGAATCTTCCAGAGAGGTATAAACCATGAGCTCACTGTATACCCTCTCCCTTTTTTCTTTCTTTCCTTTAGCTAAAATATTGCTGCTCATTAGGGCACAGGCCTTGGAGGCCAAATACATAGAAGTCAACATGAGCAAACATTTGTTCAGTGGGTACCATGTGTAGGGTAAAAATGCCCTTTTTTACATTTTTTTTCTTTCTGTTTTTTTCTTTATAGTCAGATGAGATAAATATATTAATCTATCTTTAATGTACTCTGTGTATAGTCAACTTTGTCTTAACTAGTGTGTGCCTTCTGATTTGCCACAAGGATCTGTCACCTGAGGCACTCTGTTTTTAGGTGTTCAGGTTCAAATTTAACAAACATTTTCTGAGCATGCTTACTATGAATTGGATACAGATTGACACTATGGGGGGGTTCAAACATAGCCCAGCTTTCTAGAGCTTTGCAAACCAGGAAGCAGACAGACACATATTCTGTAACTATAAGGGAAGACAGTGGCAATTTTTATGTTACTTCCACAGAGTGAGAAGGAGCATATAATTCTGCCTGGGGGGATTTGCTCTCTGTCCTCACAGATGGTACTGCTAGCCCCATAAGTGGTAAGGGGACTGCTCACCTGTTGTCTTGTGCACAGACCCTGCAAGCCCCTCCTGCTGGCATTGCTAGAAATGCAGAGCTCGTGTGCTGGGCTGGGAGAACTTTCACTTCTCATGCTCTAGGGACAAAGAAAGACGTGGCTGCTCCCAAGGTGGTTCCTGCTTGAGCCTGTGTCTAAGCATATCGGCAAATATTCTTGAGAAATAAGCAGAAAAGGGGATTATAGTAGAAAAGTTAAGTGATAACTAGTTTTCTTAGCAAATATATCCTGGGCTGTCCGGCTTTCTTATATAGGAATCCTGAGTCTGACATGGACTCTCTGGAGTGTTCTCTAGGCCCCACAATCTGCCTGATACAGTAGGACTTTTTGAAATTTGTAGCTGTTAAAAATGTACCTCTAAAGCAGGCAGTTGAGAATGTCCCTGAAGGTGAAACACTTCTGAGCTTTGTTTTGTGTCCTTAGTTGGATATGGAATGTGCTCTTTTGGATGGAGAACAGAAATCTGAAACAACTGAACTTATGAAGGAGAAGGAGATTTTGGATCATCTAAACCGGAAAATAGCAGAACTGGAAAAGAACATAGTTGGTGAAAAGACTAAGGTAAAAGAAAATTTTTATTTTAATGCAACTTTTATAGGCAAAGTGGTAGTCCCAGTTGATGGCATTTAAATGTTAAATGGAATTACCATAATATTGGATTAGTGTGTCATGTTTCTGGAGACAGTGGCAATAGAGAAAAGTCCTAAGATCATATGTTGTCACAAACTAAGAACTGTCAGGTACTGGGCAGCTGATGCTGAGAGAGCAGAGCCCATATAATTTGCAAGCTGATACTCATGGCAGCTTATTTTACCTGAGATGAGAGAGTTGCTTTTTACCCATCAGTCTTTCTGCTCTTGATTCTACTGTTTTTTTATTTTATTTTATATTTTATTTTTGTTTTGTTTTTTCTTTTCTTTTCTTTTTTTTTTTTTTTTTTTTTTTTTTTTTTTTTTTTTTTTTTTTTTTTTTGGCAGCTGGCCTGTCCAGGTATCCAAACCGCACTGTATTTTGTAAAGAATTTTTTTTTAGTATACCAAACTTCTTTATCACCGATGCCCCCGTAGGGATAACTTAAGCATATTCAGATAGGGTTGCTCCTTTCTTTTCATTTCTGTTTATTAACAAAGATGAATGTGAACCATTCATCTCAGCTGTCTCTCCTTGCTGTTGTCTTCAATGCAAATGCACTGTTCTTTGAAAAATGCATTGAAGTTTTTGGGGGTTCCTCATGTACTGCCAAGTGAAAACTATCTGTGGAACATAGGTGACACAGCTTGGAAAAGGTCTTACTTATACGTTTCAGGCTACAACCTGAATGTTAGCTGATATCTACTAGGGAAAGTATGAAAAAATCACTTGCAGATTTTAGAATTCAGGGTGGTAGTTGGGTTTTTGGTTTGTCTGTTTATGTGGGTTTTTCCTTCTGGAAAATATTATACTTTACTTTTCTCTCCCATTCTGAGTTAGTTACAGCTGACCTAAGCCTACAATTAAAAATAAAATTCCAAACTGGGAAAGCAAGAAGCAAATAAGCTTTTATGTATTCTTTCCTGCTGGCCATGTTCTCCACTAAGCTGAGAAAAAGAAAAATTTTTCAGTTTGAGTAAGTTCTAGTGGTAATGTGTGGAAAGAATTTCTGCTGAATGTGACTTCCTTTTTAGGCTCTTATTTGTTTGAGACCTATAAATAAGGGGATTTGATCTTGGTGCCAGAGAATGAGCTCAAAATGGTGTCGTCTGAAATGAAAGTCAGATTAAAAGCTACACATCAATTTCTTGTTTGCCTACATGTTAAAATTAAACTGCACAGCATTTTCATATTAGATTTTATGTATGTTCCTTCTACCTCCAGATTTTGAAATAGTAAAGAATCTATTTAGGTAGTGACTATACTTTTCTTTTGAAGCTTAAAACAAAGTCAAAGAATTGATTGTCAAAATCTGCTGTACAGGAGGATTCAATTAATGGCTTATGCTTTTCAAAGATTCTGTACTGATACAGCAAGAGGCTTTTGTTGGAGGCATCAGATGTCATGTTTTGGTACTTAATAATATTTTACTGTTAAGCAAATAATAATTAAATTGAATAATACTACAGTAATTGTATTGCTATTACATCATATTGGAAAACTTGCGGGACACAAGATTGGGTTATCTTGTTCCCTGTGAACCCTTCTGCCTTTCTCATCCATATAAATGTTTATCTTTGTGTCACTCATGTATGGCATGGCCCACAGATTCTATTTGTCTATCTGTCATTAGCATCAGATTGTACACAGAAGTGAAGCATGTTGAGCCAATGCTAAATCTCACTTGCCAGGAAAAGTTGAAGGTAGAACTGGAACTCCAGAAACATGGGCAGAAACAAGCAGAGAAGCCACCTCCATCCTTCCAATATTTTTGTTTTGGTGGCTTGATAGAGGCTGTGCACAGGAGAGCAGGCTCCAGGGGCTTGACGTATGGGACCAGCTCATGCAGCTGTTAGGGGATTAATTGGTCTTGGAAGGTGGGTTATCGTTTGTCAACACATGGTGCGAAA